AAAATGGCTGCTGTGAAAAGGTCCACTGGAATAAGGTTGTCATAAAGGGACAAAATAAATTATACAGTAGATACATTCTATTGTGCCAAAATGTAGTACATACAGTACTTACACACCAAGATAACAGGAGTTAAATTAACAGATCAGATTGCACATTTTGTGATTGTGAAACAACCAGCAAAGGTTCATATTCCAGTATGATATCATAACAGAGGTGGGAAATATTCTTCTTTGTCATGCATTTGTTAGGGACATTCAGAATGCCAACGCAGGAGCTCAGCTTTTAATATCGGATTAGATTATTTCAGAGTTGCTGCAGTTATACCATGGCGTGGAAACTGACAATTAGCATACCATATACAATCTTGCTTATCTACGGTACTGAATTCTATTGAATTAGTGTCATTACAAATATATTCAATTCCACCCTATTAGTGTTATTTTAAGTAAAGTTTATATCACCTTTCATGTCTGTCAGGGCATAATTTGTTGTGAAAGCGTATGTTCAACCACAAAACCTTCAGTTTTTTTTTCTTTAAGGATCACTAATGATAATAATAATAATAGTGTAATGCTGTATACCGGGAAACTATGATATTTTCGGAGACATACTATAAGTCTCATACGGTTGCAACCCTATTTCAGAGAGCTATGGCATGAATTTAAAAATATTACAATGGAAACCACCTGTATTTGTGTGGTGTCCACTGAATATTTGTGTAGTAAAACAGTCTTAAAAGGCAAAAAAAATTAGGAGGAAAATGCATTCTTCACCTCAGAAGTAGCTGACAATAAAACAAATAAAAAAGTAATACATCTTAAAGGTGCCCTGTGGAGATTTTGACCACTAGTAGTGCTACTGAGCAATGTTTAACAGGGGGTCCATGTTTTGTTTTGTACAAGCATTTGGGCGACGCAATACACAATCCTACTGGTTTAGCATTCTTCTGCTGGGTGACAGTTGGTAACGGTACAATGCAAAGAAATATAGCAGTGCCCTCCAAAAGACAGTGAAGAAGATATAAGAAGACTGCTAGCTAGTAAACAATGGATGTAAACAATGCACGATCTGAGTGTTTTATGTAGGAAATAGACTCAACATGTTTGTTCAACATTAAGGATACACAAAATATATTTTGGTGAGAAACACTATGAACATAACATTTGTTTGTTTACAGGAAAACCCCAACTCAAGGTCCACTTACTGGCTTTTCCTGAAGCTTCCAAACACATCTTCATCAGCAGATAGAGTTGTAAAAAGCTATCTTGAGTTGAGCTTTTTCTGTCAAGTTTTAAAAAGCCTTGGATATATGTCTGGGTCAGTATGTTTTTATGGTTACCTGCTCTATGTGGAAATGAAACATGGAAATCAGACAGGAAACTTTGCAGTAACTGATTTAGCTTCTTTATAATTCAAGTTGAAAAATAAATACACAACGAATAAATACGTCAAAAATCCATGTCAGCTGTCTGGTTTGTTGAGTGGAGCGTTATTTTCCACCTTATGAAATGTGTCAAAGTCTTAAATGAAACTACAGGCCTGTTCCCGCTAATGAAGGCCCTGCTTTAATGAGTCACAGTGGAGCCATACCAGAGCTGGAAGTGAGAAAGTGAGAGTGTGAGTGTGGAATTGGGAATATCACAGGAATGTATTTACACAGTGGAATTCTACATGCTACATGCCTGTAGCTTTTTAATAGACTTTGGTTTCTCCTGATCTTCTTTAACATAACACTCCCATTCACACAGAAGGGAGGCATTAGAGTCCAGGTAGTGTGCTCCTGTGTTTGTGATACAATGCATGGAAAAAAGAAAGTAGAAAAAGAATGTAATGTGTTTCGGCTTCACATGCTGTCAGCTCATAGATAGTGAAGAAAGAAGTATAACAAAATAATCGGTACAGCTTGATCTGTGATGTACACACCTATGTTTTGGCTCACATTGATCACTTTGGCTTTGCAAAGATAACTGTCCAAACTGTATCCATCCTTCCACCTGTACATTCTTCAGTATATCTATCTTAACATGTATTCGTCCATCATCTCTAAAGTCTATTCGATTGTCTCTTTACGTCCATCTCTTTATTCAGAGTAACTTATCAATCGTAGCACATACTGATCCACTGATCTATGCATTAATTCATCTGTTCTCTCACTGTAAACAATTTCTTCGAAAACCTACAATGAACTCATCCCGCTAACAGGTATTGTGTGTGTATCAAAGGCCGCAATATCTCCTTCCTCTGTGCCAGAGAGCTCCATTGCTGTTCAAAAACTAGGAAAAACACATCAATAAGCCACACTGCTGCAGTGGGTAACATGTTCTTTCATTCCTTCACCAATTGGCCCATCATAAACCCCGCTCCTTTTTGCTCTGTGCTTCAATGACAGTTGAGTAAGCCTCAATCAGATAATATTAGCAAAAACGCAAGCTAACTAGCTAGCTACATTACATTAATTGTTAGTTAGCTAAGGTTTTGCATTAGATAACTGAAGATGTGACTATATACACCGTATATATACTTTCTCTTCTCCTGTACTATACGCTATGTGCGCTAGTCTTTATGGAAAAGACTAAAGATAAAAGATAAAAGCAACATATATATCTCACATCTTACATTAGCTATTGTTAGCCAAACACTAGCTAGCTAATGAGAGACGTAAATTACCTAGCTAGCATTTGCAAACATTAGCTTTCCGATGTAACTAGCTAGTTAACAACTGATTAACTAGCTATTAACTGATTAGTAGATTAGCTAGCTAGTTAGCTAGTGTTTTAGTATCATTAGCTAACTGTGTGGCTATATATAGGTCACTTCTATCTTTTAATCATCTTTAAAATGTGGTTGTCTTTTCAGCATAGACGAGCCTAGCACATAGCATATCTTAGTACAGGAAAGAAAGACATCGACTGAGGTTCTGGCTCAGGCTTGCTCAACTGTTATTGGAGCACAGATTAAAATCGGCAAATTTAGGAAGGGTCAATTGTCTTACTGTAGCATAATTCTTCAACAGTTGGTTTAATGTATTTTCTGGAGCTGTACAGTTTTTAAGCGCAGAGCAAAGAACCGAGTGGGAATTTGGCAGGGTCAATTGTTGGTTTTGACTTTTTACGGGATTAAGACAGGAAAAACTTTCCTCACCTCTTTGGCGGTTTAATCCAACTCTAGTTTAATGAGCAGGATAAGAATGCTCTCCACCCTGTACCCCACATTAAATCCCTGCATCCATAAATCTATCACCACAACTAAACAGTGGTGTTTCCCTGTGCTTTGTATTTTCCTTTACAGTAAATCTGTGATTGGCTGCATTTGTGTTTCATTGGACAGAAACGTATGCTAATTGAGGGTTTGCGTCCTTGAGGTCCAAACAACCATGTCTACCTTCGGCCTGCTGCATTGTATGCGAGCAAGTTTCCAAAATGACTTTATTTGTTCATTCTTGACATCTAGCTCGCTAACGGATGCCAGTTCCAGTCAAAAATAATTTGTAACTAGAGGTAGGGTGTTGCTGTAAATATCTTCCTCTGGTCATTCTGTGACCCCTGCTATAGTTCCCCTGCTTACTAGTGGCTATTACTTTTCTCCCAGGAAACAGAACCAGCAAAGGAGAACCATCCCTGCAGTGTTAGGGCACTTTTTGTCTTCTGTGCTTTGTCTTCGTGTTCAGGAGGTCTTCCTCCTCCTCGCTCTTGATGATCAGGCAAAGCGTGATAAGTGGATGTGCTCAGTAGCGCCCCCTGTGGTTTGACCTGGACATGGTGAGTGGCAGAGACACGGAGGAGAGAGAGGAGACCTCCCAGTAGAGAGAGCGGGACAGGAAGAGCTGGTAGAGGATCACCATGGAGATGGACTGGCAGAGGATCACACCGATAGTCACCACCTGCAGAGAGGGAAGACATGGTAGTAAAACAGCAACAATTGCAGTTGTGTCCACCTGATGAATGTGAATCCAACGTTCCTTCTACTTTTAGCTCTGCTTTGGGGCTCCACCAACTCCTGAGGGAAATATCTGGCCCTTTAGCTACTAAATGTTTGTGGATGGGTCTGTTGTTTGGTGCTGGCCAAGCAGGATGTGTACTGTGTGTTTATCAGAGCTTTTCTTACAGTTTATTGTGATGTGACTAAATATATCTTTTATCTTTTAACCATTTCGAAATTCGGTTGCCTTTTTAACATCGAAGAGCCTAGCACATAGCATATCAAAGGACAGGAAAGGAGAAAGTAGTTATTGAGGCACTGAAAGATAATAAATATATAAAATGTATAAAACTTCAAGTGTGCTTTGTTTGTGTGTTCACACCTTCTCCCTCTGGTGCTCGTTGAAGATGACAGACATGAGGAAGAGGACGGGATGGCAGAGGAACCACAGGAAGCATCCCTGCAGAGGACACAAGGAAGAGTATGTGACCACCTGATGGACTATAGGTAAGTATTTGTCTGGAGGGTATATCATCGTAGTGGGTAGTTTACCTTCGCGAAGCAGAGGTAGAAGTCTCTCTTCAGCGTGCTCCTCTCAGTGGAGATGATCTGGTAGAGGACAGAGGCCAGGAGGAGGGACAGAACCAGTCTCAGAGCCATGAGGAGGAGCCCTGCCAGACTCTGCTGGGCGTGGTAGCTGTGGTGCTCACTCTCGGATTCTGAATACTGCTCCCACAGCAGCAACACTCCCTGAAAGTGACACAGTTTCACTCTCAGTGGCTCAGGTATTATTATCTATCCCTCTATCAAAAGCACAGGTAGGTTTGACTAACAAATACCCCGAATCTAACTTCCTGTGTACCTGTGTAACGACTCCACCGACAGCGACAGCCGTGGAAGCCGGAGACTGTTCCCACTGAAGAGGTCTGGACTGAGGCTTCCTGCCCCGGCTCAGAGTCCAACCCATACACAGACTCAGCAACATGTAAAGCATGGACACCTGGGACACCATATCCCAGACTGCACAGGGAACAGGGAGTGGGAAAAAAAAAAAAGAGGGAACATAATAACATAACATTTTCATTTCTTTGTCTGTTTTACAAATGAAGTTCCTCTTACTGGAACTAAAGAAAGGACATATTTAAAGAAGAGGAACATACACTCTGCCAGGCTGCCCATCAGCGGAATACCGATACCATCTCTGGAATACCTGCAGAACACAAAGGGAGGGAACAGGAAACAGTAAGAAGAGAAAAGGAGAGAGAAGCCGCTAGACATAAGTAAATGTAGGACTGGCTTTTCGTTATTGGCGAGAGCTTGGTGACATAAAAGGCTGCAGGCCGA